AATTATTGGCTTAGAAACAGACAAAGATATATAATAGCTAGTCGAATAAATGTTTCGCCTGGTGCAAGTTAGGCTGCTAGAAGAGAAGAGGCATTTGGATTAGTAGTATTATGTTTTGCAGATGATGCATTAAATTGGTATAATATTTATGTTAAGAGTAAAAATTGGAGATGTAATAATCTTTCAGACAACTTAGGTGTAGCAGATTTAAATGCTGTTCGAGGAATAGGTGTTGGAAATGGTAGTAATCAAATTGGTGGTTTGAATACTGCTAGAGGATTCCAAGATAAGGCGGCCACCGAAATTAGTAGAATTGAAGCAGGGATCGCAACAGGTGCTGAATTATTCCAAATGGAATATGGGATGAAGATTGGTCTATAGCTGGTGGGAAACCTGTAGATAATGCACCAGTAGCGCCTAATGCTGGAGGTGGTTTTCCTGCTGTCACTATTGCTCCTGGTATTAAGCTTGGTCTACTTTTATACCTGTTTAGAACTGCTTATACAACAGTTGCACACTTAAAACAAACGGCAGTTTTCGATCAACTCATGCAGGGCGATATGTCAGTTGAGCAATTCTCTACTAGAATTAAAAAGATTGGTAAATTAGCTAAAATGACTCCTGAATAGCAAAGAGAGCAATTTATTCGTGGTCTGTCTCCGATGAATCAATATAATCTTTGAATAATAGCCAAATTTTATGATACACAGGATAATATTACATAAGCTCTAGCTGAAGCAGAAAAATATATATTATCTCAAAAGAGTGCATCGTCTTCTTTTCCAATTTTTCCAGCGGCCAATCCATATGCAGATACTAACAGATCAGGGATGACTAGAAATGAAATTGAGAGCTTGGTAAAAAATACAATAGCCTTATCAGAACCTCAACAGTATCATTAAGTGACTTTATCGCAATTTTAACCACAACTTGCAGGAATGCATAAAAATTTACGAGATAAGAATATGAGCAGATTTTTATCATAGATTATGGGAGAAACCTCAGAATTTATTCCTGTTCCTAATCTTACTTTACTACCAAAGCCAAAGAAAAAAGTTGAAGTTGTTTCTGATGATAAACTCGCTGAGCTCACAAAAAAGCAGTTAAATCTTCACGTGGCTAAAGCTGTTAAAAAGGCTGTAAAAACATAACATAAATATTCTATCTGTAATAAGACTGGGCATAATTCTCGCAAATGCTCTCAGAAGAAGAAAAAGAAAATAAGAAGACTAAAAAAGGTAAGGTTAATCTTGCCTTAGATCTGGCCTCAGATTCGAATTCAGATTCTTCTTCTGATAGCTTATCTAGTGATAGTTCTGATTCTGATTCTGATTCAAGTTTTTCCGATTCTTCTGATTCTGAAAGTGAGCTCAATGTTAATATAGCTAAGACAAAAAAAATTAAAGCGGAAGTCTAGCCCTAAGAAATCATCCTTAAAGAAGCAGTCTAAGTAAAAATCTAAGTCACATAAATCTGTTAAGCAAACTGACAAGACAGATATTGGGAAGCCTATAATTAACTCTGGTAAGACTAAACAAAGCAAGCAAAGCACTTTAGAGAATACAATCTGCAAGATTATTCAAAGTGAACTTAAATTGATTTTTTCCGCACTTATTACCCAAGATTCTAAAACTGATACGCTAAAACAAGCACTTCCTATTCAGGAGCAAAGTGATGAGATTCCAATTACCAAAGATATATTGCCATATCTAGAGGAGGTCGAATATTTAGATGATCCAATGGAGATCAATTTTGTTCAGAAAAAGGAACCAAAAACAAGTGTTGCAACTATAGAGTGTAAAATCAAGCATTTAAAGATCCTGCTATGACTTTTAATTTTGGAGCAGAACCCCCTATTATAACAGAAAATATTGTTGAGCGTGTTGTTAACCTTAAACTGTTCGTCGTTAAGTTAACAATTTTATTTGCTAACAGGGAGTTTAATTACGTCTAAACTATGAAAGAAAT